CTCTCTCTCTCTCTCTCTCTCTCTCTCTCTCTCTCTCTCTCTCTCTCTCCATTCGCCCTTGCTCTCCCCCGCGCCTCTCACGTTTGCAAGACCTGCGTGGCGTACAGGTGTCCCTCCAGGGCATCCACCCTGTCCTGCAAGGACGCGTCCACGTCAGGCTGACGAGTAGGGACGCACTCCAGCAGATCCCACGCAGCTTCCATTGCTGTCAAGAAAAACACAAGAACGGAAAAAAAAAAAAATTACAGCACCGAAACCGACATCGTTCCATCCTAAGAAGAAAGCAAACAGCATAGACATAGGAAAGCGATCAAAAATGAATAAATAAAAGAGGATCCGTAAGTGATTGATCCCCCGAGACAGCAGGAACACCTTCACACGAGACGATTCGGGTCGAAAAACTTGTGAACGTTGCTAGACAGCAAACAACGGAACGACTTCGCAGGAATCGTTGGCCTTCGCTAAGAACAGGCACGGTTTTCCTCTCCATTGTTGACCTTCGGAGAAGCATCAACGGGATCCGGGAAAAACGGTACATCTTCGAAAAACGGCAAATCTCCAATAACGCAGGAATGCCCGCCCTCCTCCATTTTCGCCACCGGTGACGTTCGGCCGAGTACAGGCAAGCATACGGACGGCACCCTCAAAGGGAAGAAAATGCTTCAGACTTCAGGAACCAGGTGAGAACAACGAACCTATGGTTCCATGACCACAAGAAGTCGGAAACATGCCGTCTCCACCGGCACGAAAACCGCTGTGCGCGGCGGGTCACCGAGACCCAAGGCAACACTACAAGTAGTGGCCGTTTCCACGCTCTTAATCACCTCTCGCGTCTGGAGCCGTTTCGACCCAAGCGTAACAAGCGTCCAGGAGGAGGGTCAGCAACGCCTCCGGCTTGCGAATCAGGCGATCGTTCTCGGGAACCTTCCGGGAATTTGTGCGGGCGACGCCGTGGGGGGGGGGGCTGTTAACGTGCGTAGGGAGATAGAGGGACGTCGCCATGCGGCGGGGACACCCACCCACGCAAAAGGTACAGGGACGTGAAAGAGATTACGGGTTGCAGACTTGCAGGGAGTCAGAACATTAATGAAAGAAGAGGCGAGAAGGGTGATGGTCGTCGTGACCACTGCAGTGACAGCTGCCACCTACGAGGGCAGCACAACAACAACAACAACAACAACAGCCACCGCTAATAACAATAACAACAACAACAGCAGCAGCAGCACCGCCGCGAAGCAGGAGCAGCACTAACGACCACCGTTCCCGCCGCCGGGGGGTATCCAAAACCTCAAATGCCCATTATGCCCATTATCTACGCCTGAAAAAGAATAAAAAATAAGCCCAGTATCCAGCCGATTCCCTCCACTCACTGTTAAGATTTCAGTACATCCCCTTCAACTGTGGTTAAGTCTCGAACGGGTAGTGTTTCTTTGATTGGGTGATGAAAAAAAAACTCGTGAGTCACCTCGGGCCGGCTAGCCTTGGCCACCGCGGCGCACGCCTCCATCCTCTCCGCCGACGGCGCTGCCTTGACCAGCGTCCCCAACACCCGCACCACAACGCCTTCCAAGCGAGGGGGGACCGCGGTAGATACCGCCTGAGAGGTAGGTGCCTCGTACCCCTCCTGCCCCCGTGGCCTGTGTAGGCGGGTGGTTGTCATGCGCGCGAGAGAGTGTAAGGTTGACGCCGCGTAGATACGAAGATAGAGAGCGGCGTGGATATACGAGTTTGGTCGGCATGAGTCGACGGCGGTGCGAGGAGTGGACATGCACGCAAACCCTGTGGCATCAGCAAGGGCTCGATTCTACGTTGTAGTAGTAGAAGTAGTGAGAATTCGTGACTGAAAAATATTTCAACAATGCCCCTGCCAACATCCTGCGGTAGTCAAGCAAGTGTGCAAGGTTCCAAGGGAGCTGGAACGGCGACAGAGAGCAGGACGCACACGCAAAGAACCCCCCACCGCATGCGGCAGGAGTACGTGAGGCCCGCACAACAAATTCCCGCCAGCACAGGGAACAAGCAGCCGACAAAAAACCTGACGTTCTCCGAAATCGGCGGCCTGCCTACCCCCCCCCCGTCAGCAAAGAGCGCGATTAAACAGACAAAACATGGAACGAAGGCCGCGGCCCACAAGCCCTACTGGAGATAATTTCTTAAGAAAGAAAGAATAAAATCCTTACCGCTCCAGGAGATCATCGCCGTTCGCCCCGCCGCTCCCGCCTGCGGCGGCGGCGGAGGCGAAGGAGCGGACGTTATCGGCGATGGTGCCCACGGACGAAGCCGAGAGCACCGCCAACATCCGCTCCTCGAGGTCCATGCTCTCCCACGCGGCAAGGGTGACGGAGGCGCTTACGCTACCGGCGTACACCTGTAGGAGCGAGGTTGGTTGGTCGACAAGCACGCGAACACCACCAACGTACACCATGTTAAAATCACATGCACAAGAATGCGGCGTGATTGGACGGCAAGCATCAAATCCAACAACGTACGTAACATGAAACCCACAAAGAGCCGTGGCGTTATTCGTCGATAACCACGCGAAATCCAATGAACACGTTAATACAAACCACATAGGAATACGCGGCGTAATTGGTCTGGACTAAAAAGATACTAGCAGCAGATAGATTGTTGTTCTGTTTCTCTTGTTGGAAATACTCAAAAAAAAAGAAGGAAAACACCCACACACATGGAGCGGCGAAAAAAAAATGAATTCAGAGCTGCTGGCAGCAGAGATGATGATTCTGTTCTTGTTGGATAAAAAAACACGCACAAAACAGCGTGGCGTGGGACGAACGGAGGGGCACGAAACAACATGCCGATTGGCCGTTGACTCTGGGGGGGAGTGCATACAGGCAACGCGGAAAGAACAGCATAAACCTCTCCTTTTTCAAGCGGCCAAACTGAACCACGAGCCACAACTCACACCATGCTACATCCACACCACACGGTGGCAACGAACGCCTTCGTTGTAGACACAACCAGGCCGGATCCTTCCCGCCAAAAGCGGGCAAAAAAGTACGCGTTATTTATCAGCCCTCACACGAAGCATTCTCAGCAAAAACATATGCCGGGTAGGAGGTATAGCTCCAACCCGTGGTCAGTCACACAGAAGGGTTAGGCTTCCTCTCCCTGAGGCCCCATACCCACCCCTCCTGCGGTGCATGCTCCACGACCTAAAATATATTGACATACCCCTCGGCTTTGTAGGGATGCGAGCTCCAACGACCACGGCAAGCACGGCTGTGAGTACGAACTCTTTGAGGTCCCTTCTCACCAGTGACGTCAAGTGCTGTAGCAAGCGATCAAGCCGCACCAGCTGCCCTTCCGTCACATCACCCCCCGCCCACCCCCCGGAGGAGGGGACAACAACACGCCGTGCGCCGAAGCGGCAAAGGGTCGCCGCGTGCCGCAGCTGCCCCGCCCGGGCGTCGAGCTCGCGGGCGCGGCCCGCGTACCAGGCGGCGAGCGCGGCCGAGTCCCGCTGCCGCTCCGCCGCAGTCGCAATCTCGTCGGCGTCGCTCGCTCCCGGCGCGTCGACACAAAACACGTCCTTCTGGCCAATGGAACCACCATCATCCTTGCCAGAAGAAGCGGCGGTGCCGTTGGCATCTGCTTCACAGAAGAGCGTCAGTGGGCGCTCATTGGATGACAACAACAAGAACACAGTCATGGGCATCAGACACTCATCATCTTTCATTGACATGTCCGCAACCACACGGCAGTCATGGGCATCGGACACTCATCGACACGTCCAACGCACATTAAAGGGCATCGGGCACTCATTCATTGACATGTCCGCAACCACACGGCAGTCATGGGCTTCGGACACTCCTTGACTGACATCTACACAACACACATCCGTGGACATCAGACACTCATTGATATGGCCGCAACCACACGGCAGTCATGGGCGGCATATGGCCATGCGCTTCCCCGCGGGTGTCGTACAACGGGCACATACGCCCCTGTTTCGTGACAAGCATGCGTCAATGTTGCGGTGTTGGGGTCATGAACAACGTGCGGGCAATCAAATATCTGGGACCCACGTTAGGTTGTACCTCTTGCGTAGATGGCACTTTTGCTTGCAGGCATTAAGGCGGAACTAGGCCAGTAGTCACGAGACTTGTTTAGAAAATGTACGTACAATTCATCAAAGAAAGACCCTAGACCTGTTAAAGAAGACGATCCCCGTCAAAGAAAGACTACACCCGTTGAAAAAAACCTGGTATACCCTTTCGAGGTATAACCACCGCAGTAGTCGAAGTGGGGGGGGGGGG